GTTACTCGGTCAAGTGAATCACATTTCTCCAAGACAGGGTCATAGCGAATTCATGCCAGAACTTGAGGGAGAACGTTTCAACAACAGGATACTTGACAACCATGTCCAAACCAGGACATATAACACATTCTCAGGAGAAAGGCTTTCATCTATTAAATTTTCTGCAGATCGTAGCGTAAAACTTGACTAACAATCACGTGACCAGTAGCGTGTGAAGTGTAATATATTTCATTACCGAAGCATTGCCTGGCCTACTAGTATTTAAGTTAAAAATAATTAATTCGATTATTTTATTCCAATGTTGAAAAAAAATATTAAAATATTAAATTATTTCTGGATTGATACATGCGAAATTATGAAATTTAAATCAAATTGCTAGTGGATGTGTTAGTTAAAGAAGTTTAGTTCGTTTTAATAATATTTGTTGAAATATTTTTAGTACTTCACTCGCTAAGTGTATATTACTGATCAGTTATCCGGAAATTAACGAAAAAGTACAATAGTAGGTAATACGAAAATAAGTCAAGCACATTTTCTTCATCAAGATTAGTCACAACTGCGATTCAACGAATTTGCGCTTTGAACGCCTTCGCTCTTATTCACCGGCGAACAGTATTTCATAGAAACCCAATATATGTGACAGTGACTTACATTAACCTCTTAAGTCATTGGATAATTTTTATTTTATAGCTTCTTCCTCGTTCACAGTCTTCCGCCTCGACCGACACCATAGTCGTGAATAGGTACAACGTTGCCAGTCTTTTTTTGTTTTGCCGTGAAGTCTTCGAGTGGATCCAGAACTGAATGCAACTCATATTATGAGAAAGCGCAGAGCATATTCCCGACTCACAACGAAACCGTCACAACGACGTTCACCGAAAATAAGATCAATATCACAATATTCATGTTTGGTGAAGCAGTGCGACAGTGTTGTAGTACGTCACAGTCCGAAAATGATTATAATTTGTGAGCAACACCTTGAACAAACACGTTACGAATGTTTCCCATTCGGCTGCAAAGTGCTGTGATAAGCTAAACGTCGTATACGAATGTTTCCAATACAGTGACTGAACGTGCGATTGCTATTGAGAATTTGCACTTAATGGTACTAATGTTTCGTCATTATTTGATGTGTACTTTCACATTCTATAAATTTTTACTTTGTGTATGATGAGTAGGGCTGTGATTTATACGTTTACGTTTTTGCATATTTATTCTGTTAACGAAAACATCCCGTTTCAACAAATTGTATATGTTTTTGCGCATTTAAATTTATGCTCTTTTATTTCGCATATATCACCATGATTGCATGTTTTTGCATATTTGGGCTACATTTGAATATTTTGTTGCATATTCCCCCCTCATCCGTGAAAAGAGGCCCAAACATTACAGTTCCGTCAGTCTGTAAGCGGCTCGGACAGTTCTCGCCACTTGCTACGGTACAACATGAAACAATAGGCTTCCGGGGATTTGTTTACGTTGCCATGGCCACGGATCAGCGTTGCCGCTCGCCTGACTCGAAGTCGTTCGAGAAGCTACGCTAAGACCTGCCATCTGCAGTATCAGTCAAAATGAAGTGTGCATCCGCCGAGCGCCTATGCATGCCCAGACGGCGCAAACGTGGAGTGGTGTTAAGAGTCAGACCTGTGAATTGAAAGTCATATTTTTATTGCAATACTTATAGTTTTTATTTTGTGAAATGTGCATTAACTGCATATCCCATTATTTTCCTAAGAAATGAGTGTTCTTCACAATTAAGCCCTTGACGTTTTTTGCTTTAAGCATATTTTCCACATTACACTTTTTATATATTTTTACACTTACACATTACATTACACTATTTCTCATATTTTCCTTTTTTAATTGCATGTATATATATATATATATATATATATATATATATATATATATATATATATATATATAAGTTTTATTTCAAATAAATCACAGCCCTAATGATGGGTTTAAAGCCATACTGGCATAAGGTATGTTTTGTGCACTTTGAGAACGAAGGTTTTGTGGATGTATTATAATAAACTACGCAATAAATTATTGAAAATGTATTTATTGTACTTTGCAAAAAAGTGTCATTGTAAATATGATTATAAATAAAACAAAGTATTGTACTTTTGGATTTCAAAAGGCTAAAGTGATTTAAACCACTTTGAATTTGAACAAAGTTGGATTACTTGTAACCTGAAATAAAGACAATAAGTATTTTAGTCGCAAATTGTGATTTATTGAAATAGCGAAGAGAAATACAATGATAAAATTTATTTTAAGTGAAACATCTCTATCGTTATCAGTAAAAACATTTTCCAGCAGGCCATTATCGTCTATTTCTGTTGTTTCAAACTTTGTAAGTCTCTGAAAGTAAGCATGGTTGATGGATGAAATGTAAGGTAGAGGATGTAGCGTGCCCCGTTTCGTTTCCTCGGGCACCAGTTTTGGTTCAGGGAATAGATTTTCCAGATCAATACGTCCGATCAAGATTGGTCTTCCTGGTTCAGCTGACTGCAATCATAGAGCGGGAAATGGGAAAATTTATTTGAGACTTCCCTTGTAATCGAGCATAAATAGTTCTTTCTTCACTGAACAAATCTACTGCATTTTGAGCCATGACAACTGTCTGTTCATGCCATTTTAATCTCCCGTATACGTACGTATTTACGGAGTATTATACGTAGTGTAGGGAAAATTATGTGATGCTGCAGAAGACTGATTCCGAGATCTCAACGGAAATACACCTTTTGGGATCCCCTGCCACTGAAAAAGTGTTTTTTTTTTTTTTTTTTTTTTTTTTTTTTTTTTTTTTTTTTTTTTTTTTTTTTTTTTTTTTGTTCTTTTCTTTCTTCAAAACGTCCGACCGCCGGTCTGACGGTCGGTCGTTCTGTTGGTCCGTCTGTCCGTCCGTCAGTGAACACTACTAGCGCCTACACCATACGTAGGATATTTTTCCAAATTAAAGAAAACCCTGTCCATCTGGCTGGAGTCGAAGCTTTGAGATTTTGAAAAAAAAAATATTTACGGGTACTTAATATGAAGCCTACCGGATATTTTCAAAATTTTCTCAAAATCGGCTCCAATTTGTACTTTAAATTTCTGGTAAGAATAGAGTAAAATACCCTTATAAAGGTGGCATAGGTCCGATTTCTAGGTTTCACTACGAATTGTGGAAATTTTTAAAATTTCTTGGGCGTGTTCTACAACTACAAAATTGAAGATAACGCTTTTTCTTCAAATAAAATGTGTTCTCTATAGTGATTTCTTTCGTGAAGGTCAAGTTCCGTTTTTGAAAATTTTTGATGTTTTCGCGAATTATATTGTGAGCAATATTTGCACTAAAAATTACAAAAACAATATTTTCTCAAAAACCGCTGAAAATGTTTTCTTTAAACTTTTGGATGGATAGTGCTAAATGTACTCTATATGATATAAACACCATATTGGTCTATTCTTTTGTTTTTTCAAAAATTACTAAAATGTAATATTTTTGACTAGTCTCTCGCGTCGTTAATATTTACATTAGCGCCAATTGTCCACATTATTGTATTCATGAATACAAGTGCTTTAAATAATGTCACATAAAGTTTCTCGAAAACTCAACCGTTTCTGTGAAAACTAGCTCAAAATGCCGCATTTTCAGAAACGTCCGATTTCATTTTCTCAAAAACAGCTCCATATTGTTTCTTCAAAATTTTCCAACAGATATGAAGGTTTTCGAAAACTCCTTAGTTTTCTGTGAAAAGAGGTTTAAATTTCGCCTTTACAGAAGCGCTTAAACGCCATTTTCTTAAAAACGGTTCCATCTTTTTCAAAGAAAATTGCCATTTATGGCAACGTTTTACTGTTATTTAATATTCTTTAATCTTGAGCATTCTTAAAACAATACTTTCGTTTTATTAGGAAAGCGAATAATTACGAAAATTTAAAAAATAATGTTTGGGTGGCGATAGTGTAGCGTGGTAGCTGGCAAGAGTATGTGGCAAGTCCGAATAGCTAGCCGATACCAAAGGTAATAGAAATCTAATACAGAAAAGTCTGTGCCGTTCTGTAGCACCACTAGTTTTTCACTTGTAGTTTTATTCAAGATTCTGTGCAGACTTGTCTTTAACTAATATTTGTGTTAAAAAATGTTCCTTCTTTTTTGAATTTGATTGAGTGTCGATCAGCAGAACCAAAAATTGACGGTGTTTTGCATAGATTTATATTAAATCAAAATCAGACTCATTAGGGAGGTAAAAGTGACCACTTTCCATCAATTTGTCTGTAATGTCAATGTTATCACTGCTTTTGAAAGAATTTTAGATTCCACTCAAACTTCCAATTTCTGTTCTGTCTTATACAAGTTCAACAATACGCTGTTCATTGCAATGTGTCTTGATGGTGAGACTCTTGTCTAATGTAATTTGAATCACAAGAACTTATTTCTTGCGAACCACGCGAAGGAATCGTTTTATGCCATGCGTACGTAAGACATAAGAGAATAAATTGGAGTTCTTTTTTGCGAAAATACTTTTTGACAATTCCCTTAAATCATCCGAATTTACGCTGTTTCAGAAAAATTGTACATTAGCTTGTACCAGATCGATTTCGGAGTATTTCATTTGGGAAACATACTAGGAATAGTTCCGGTGGTACGGACGGATATAAATGTTTTGCAGTCAATTTTTCAGTATGAAATACCCACATAACGTGGATTCTAAATAATATACTATGATTTATCCGTGCACTTGACGTAAATCAGCTGTTCAGTTTCATCCCATCGGGAGCTTGAACGTCCCCATAGTGACGTCACTGTAGCGACATATAAGCTCCCGATTGTTTGCAACCGCAACAGCTGATTTACGTCAAGTGCACAACTAAATAAATCGTACTATACACAACGTGTTAGAGAAAGTACTTTACTCTATATAGTGACACGGTTTATCCAATGTTTCTGTCTCATGGCTTTGCAAGTCTTTGTGGGGAATGATGGCGAGAGTGTGTTGTGTGCGCAGCGGCGTCGCCCCCGAAGCGGCGCGAGCTGGACTCGGTGATGAAGAAAGCGCGGCGCGAGGGCGGCGCGCAGAGCAACTACTGGAACAAGAAGCTGCTGGAGGCGGAGGAGAAGGACCCGAACAGGTGAAGTGGCGGGCAGCGCAGCGCCAAGCGCAGCGCGTTGAGGAGGCGGGCGCGCGGGGCGGGGCGGGGTGTGTTGAGACGCGAGCGTTACTGCCTTATATAGATGGCGCCACAGTGGCTTTAAGGAGTTGTATGTGAGTGGTGGCAATTCATCGCATGGCTCTCCCAGCAGCGGCCGCCAGCAGCCGGCGCGGCGTGGGGGCGGGGCGTCTCGCTCCCGCAGCCGGTCGGGGGGCCGCGGCCCCCGCCGCCGCTCGCGCAGCGCCAGCGCCGCCCACCTGCCCCGCGGCCGCAGCCCGCGCTCCCGCTCCCGCAGCCGCTCGCGCAGCCACAGCCGGCCGCCCCGCGACCGCGACCGCGACCGGGACCGCGAACGGGAGCGCGACCGCGAACGGGACCGGGAGCGCGACCGCGACCGGGACCGCGACCGGGACCGCGACCGAGACCGCGACCGGGACCGGGACCGCGACCGGGATCGCGACCGAGAGCGCGAGAGGGAGAGGGAGCGCGAACGAGAGAAGGAGCGCGAGCGCCGACCCCACACGCCGCCCTCGCAGGCGCTCAGGGTGAGTACGCCAATTTGCGTTATTTTCTCTTTTGCGACTAACGCTCAATATGAGCCTACAGGGCGATTCAAAAAGAATACAATTTCAAACAGCTCTGCATTCAAAACTACACAGCGCGGCGGACCTAGCGCAAAGAAAATGTACTCTAGTTTCAAACGATTGTCGCGTGATCGAATGTGCAATGTTTTTAGCCTCTTGAATGCCTTTTGTTCAGTTTGCCCTAAATGGCGATCCACGAGCAGAAGGCGTTTGGTGTATCGCAGGTAGATCGGATCAGCAGTGCTGCAGGGTCAGTGACGACGGACATGCCTGCTCGGGTCTGGGGCGAATGAAGAGCACCTCTGTAAAATTGTCCGTGTCGCCGGTGGAGGACATATGGAACATTTGTAGTTAAGACATTCCTAAGTGTGCAATACACATACTTCACATAAGTAAATGTTTCAAAATTTCCTTTTTAAAATACGTATATTATTTTTGAATCGCCCTGTACTTGTAGAGACCCCCAATATATAGCTAGCGGCGAAACCATAAGAAGCATTTTCACCAAAATTGAAATTGCCCGATTGATCTGCATGAACTCGAGACCCTACAAATTTGAAACGGATAATTTGATTCTTGGGAGTACTTAACTTGAAGCCGCTAGACATTATCAAATTTTTTCTCAAAAATAGCTCGCTTGCAACGGTTTTAAATTTCAACTTTAAGGCTTTAAACTTCTCGTGTGATTTAACCGCACTATGTTTCACTAGATGTTTATTGAAGAGATAGCGTATTCACTCCTATAGTACAATTCTACTGCTTATCTATTATAACTAGCAAGAAACGAAACATATTTGAGAAAATACTGCTGAAGTCCATTAATATTAACGAAGACAAATAAAAACTTTAAAATATTTTGTTCTTAGTTATTAATTCGTGTTTTGCGATATTTTAGAACGACTCATTTGCTCATAGTTCCATATGCTTCTGACCATTTCCTGCACTTCTAGCATTGAAGTTGTCAGAATTATGTGTCTCCGACCACCAGGCAGAAACATGTGTAAATATTTACATTGAAGGCCGACAATCGGAACAATAGTGGGCTTAAATTGTTTAATTGGATTTTGCATTAATCCATTTACAATTAGCAGAGCTGCTTCTCTTGTGAACCGAAGCTTAATCGGTCTGCAATAACGACTCGATAAAGGTTGAGGATTTTGCCTTAAGCTGAATCTATATATATATATATATATATATATATATATATATATATATATATATATATATATATATATATTTGGTGAAAAAATGATCACTCATGTAAAGTATATATAAAAATAAAAATTAACGGCTTAAACTCACAGAGCTTTGAGTTCGTTCAGAGGATTGGGGAATATTAATGGAATATCTTTGGGGAAGATCGGTTGAACGGTTTAGGTGCTACACGAAAAACAGTTACAGTATATCAGATCCATGATATCTGGTACTGCAACTGTTGCTTTTTCGTGTAGCGTTGACACTCACAGAGGCATGTTTTACCGTCAGTCAATTTTTTGTATGAAGCATGCACAAAACGTGGAATCTGTCTACACCACGCGTTAGAGGAAATTATTTACTTCAGTGTGCCCACTTTCTGGAAAACATGAAAAATCGAGGAAATTGAGAAAATTTCATTGTTTTGGAAAAGTCAGGGAATGAGCAGAAGACTATGAAATTCAGGGAAAATGTATTTGGTGAGAAAATATAAAAATGTATTTTTGACGACGAAATCTGAGGACTGGTCAATAAGTATCAGTGCAACTTTAATATTTTCTATCAAGTGGTATGAAATTGCAAATCTTATCAGGAAAAAAAACACTGGAGAAATGTAAGGGAAATTCCTGTAGGAAGAAGATTTACCCACTTTTTCGTTACCAATGCCTTCGGCAATTCTCTCGAAAAATGTGCGCTTTCCTCCGCAGTATGACAATCCTCGATATGTGCTCCGTAAGGCGAGGAGGCCGAGCGGAGTGTGTGTGAGTGAGTGATTGTGTGTGTGTGGTGTCGCAGCCGCAGAGCGTGCCGGGGCGCCGCGCCGCCGCCCGCCGCAGCCCACCCGCGGCGTCGCTCTCCGCCAGCTCGCGCTCGCTCAGCAGCTGCTCCGACGAGTCCTGCTCCGTGTGCTCGCCCAAGGCCACGCGCAAGCGCGCGCTGCTGTCGCCCGTCGCCAGGGTGCGCCAGTCGCCCAGATCCAGGTGACTGCTTAAGGACTATTTTAAATGTTCACCTATGGGAATATGATAGTATATATTCTCGTTATTTATTCTTATTCGTTTTTGCACGTATCGTATTTTTGTCACATTCTGAAATTACACAGTACTATAAATTAAACTATTTGAACCAATTATTTTAGGTAAAAAATTATACATTATAATAATCGTAATCTTAAATTAAGATTTTTTTACAAAACATGATTATTTTTATTAAACAGCAGAGCAGGGCTGTATTCCAATAAACAAACTGTATTGGTCTGTAATGTCTCCAGAGATCATATATTTTCTTATCAAAACATAACGTTGGCTATAATTGATAATAAAAAGGCTGTTTATTTATCCCTTTTCCTCCAGGTCTTGCACTCAAAATGTGTGTCCAGTTTCCCCCTATTTTATTGTCAATCTTTAAATCACTAACTTTGTTATTTGGTACTTTAATTATGTTTGAAAGGGATTATTAATTAATTTGCTGATTGTTTTTTAAATAATTACCACATTATGTTCTACTACCATATCCTGTATAATTGATCAATGATTAAAGCATATCATCGCTCTTGTCTGAAAGCCACGTATGTCAATTTTTTCTAAAATTCTTTATTTGCAGTTTAAGATGGAAAACCTTGTTCGACTGTAAAGTTTGAAAAACTGGCCGTTTTAGCACTCTTAGGACTCGAAACTATGAAAGTTTATATGCCACCACTGTAAGAGAGGAAGCGTTTTATTGTTAACATAATTCTTATTATTTTAATTTTATTTTATTCTCAAATCAAACTTCATTTCTTTTATTATCAAATCCACTAAAGACAAGGACAAAATTATGTAAATTTCACTCCTTCGAAAGTAACAAACGGAAACTGTTTTTGCGACAACTGTCCAACACCAAACATTTGCGCCAAATGCTGCACACAACTAACATTTTGCGCTATGACCTGAATTCACGTGGTGTGGACAGGAGCGCCAACCCTGGTCTCTCGCTTTTTCCGCGCACATCGAAGCATCTCAGATGAAGTGCATTTCATGTCAGACCGCGCCTGCACGAGCTGCTTGGCCGCCTGGGAAGCCTGGTGCTCCGAGAGGCGCATCTGCGGTATGGCCCACGTGCCATGGGGGCCACTCACAAGGGGTGCTATTTACACCCGCTAAAAGAAATAACAACCCTAATTTGAAGTATTTTGACAGGGGCGCAAATGTGTGCTTGCCATGGGCGCCTGAATATTTAGACAAGCCTAGGAGCTCCTGCCCCATGTAAATCGCAGTTTACTAATGTGTCTGTGTACGTATTGCCAGAAGTGTATCATGTGCAATTTAAAATATTTAGGATGTAAATAACTCGTTTATGAGTTATTTACTATGGTTAAATAGCATAAGGGAGAATTGATAGTGAAATTTGTGAATGGAAAATATTCCCGCAAAGACATTACTGTATTTCTTAATCAGGTCGACAAAACCACGTCTGCCATGTGTAGCCTGCAAGAACAGACAAAGGAGATTAGGTCCTAATATGGGTTCCTATTAGCTTCATGTGATGATTGTGTTCTCTTCCAAGTGAGACTGTTGAATTGCTTCCTTGACGTCCGACGTCATTGCGGACTGTGTTGCAGATCCCGGTCGTTCTCGGTGCCTCGTAACCGGCCGGCCACGAGGTCGCCCCTGCCCGTGCGCGCCAAGCGGCGCGAGAGGTCCGGGCCCCCCAGCGACCCGCGCGTGCAGCCCTCCAGCCCCCCGCCCGCGGCGCGCAAGCTCAAGGCCAAGAGGAAAGAGGAGAGAGAGAAGGTGAGGGAACGATCGCCCCGGCTCGTTCTATTGGAACCGCCCCTTCTAGGTCACGAGCTGGAAGGCGAGACGTCACTTTCATCCAATTGGGAGCTTCGTTACGTCTTTTTGAAGCTCCCGATTTAATCACAGCTCCACCCACCTCCTCACCTTCCAGCTCATGACCTGGAAGGGAAACTTTTAGTCTGAGTACAAAGGCCCATTAACTTGCTACAATTTTCGTGCGTATTGGACAAACAGAGTATGCAGTATCGGTTGCACGATTTCTGCATGATTACTTGTGAACCCACATACGATTTTTTTAAAACAGAAAACGTAGTTTGTAGTGGCTGAAGAATTCACTAATGAATTTGTTTACGGCGGAAATCGTCCATCCTTTTCAATTTTGTGGTTATGTTAGGTTCGCTTCCGAAGATTTTGTGTATGGCGTATTCGAGTTCTCGGATTTTCAGGTATGATTATTTTACTACCTCTTGTTATGAGGTTATTCAGTCTCACTTCTGCAACCCAGACTTCCCCATTCGGAACGTTTTTTCTGTGCATGCTGAAAAAGCAGCCTCAGCCATGCTTGTAGGGACATTGATGATGGCCCTTTTTTATTATTTTCTTCCTGTGTTAAAAAAAGTATTAATAAAGTAACTTATAACGTACACACACAAAATGTTTGTGTACAATTAATATCGTTTATTAAACGTCGCGAATGAATGTACTGGAACGGAGCAATCCAGAAATTCATTAGTGTGCCGGCAGAGTCCCAAGCGGCATAAAGTGCCATCTAGTACAGAAAATGTGCAGACCGTGTAAACAACACTTTCGGCTTCTTGTACTTCTAGTTTGGGATCTTAAAGTGATTGCGTAGGCTTCCGCGACCCGAGTGTGTATTAGCTACGCTATCCGGGAGGTGCCGCGTCTCTGTCGTGGTGGCTGACTTTCGGCCATGTTGCGGCCCGCCCACCCTTCTCCACCATATGAGGTGTTCTCACTAGCTATTTGGCAGCAGCAGGCCACAACGTATTGGCCGAAACGTCTGCCACTGTGACAGAGACGCTGGTCCTCCCGGTTAGCCTAGGTAATCGGTATGTGGAAGTTTCTGTACCTTTTCTGTATGAGAATTGCACGAAAATTGTAGCGTGTAAACCGGCCTTAACGGCCGGCCACGGACCGCGCGCCATCTTTTCTTCCCCTTCCTTGTCCTATCCCACTCACATACTTGCACTACACTACCCTGCGCATGCCATAAACTTAGAGCTTGTCTCGGGTGTGGCGGTGCTCCGCTGGTTGGGGAAAATCCTCCCAAGCCGACTTAAAGTCGGCGCCGGATCTCGCCATCCAGCGGGAAATCACCGCTACCCCCTGCGACATAGACCTGCACTACGCTTATGGGGCTAACGCCCTTGGGCAGCGCACGCGTCCGGAGTCGCTAAGGCAGTGACTGGCGGTTGCAGGGCTCGAAGAAGCGCAAGAGCAGCCGCGTGAAGGGCGAGCGTGGCAAGCGGCGCGGGCGGCCGGCGCCGCCGGCGGAGGGCAGCCCCGTGCGCAGGCACAGCTCGCCGCCGGTCTCCTGCTCCGAGGAGAGCTCCACGTCGTCCGTGACGTCCGGCGGCGGCGCGCCCAAGCTGACGCTGTCCGAGCGCTTCGGCAAGATGGCGCAGTGGTCGGTGGACCGGCGCGACCTGGACGGCGTGCGCAACATGCGCATCACCAAGGACTCTGACAGCTCGGACCTGAAGGTGGTGATAGAGGGCGACCGCTACCGCGCGCTCAGCCCCATGCCCGTGAGCGACCGCCGCGTCGGCCTGCACTACTACCCGGAGACCATGCACGCCGCGCCCGTCGGCCTCGACGCCTGGGACGACGTGCGCGTGCGCTACAAGTACTACAAGGAGCGCGGCTACCTGCGCGACCTCACGCTCGACGACTACATCAAGTGGGAGGAGTGGTGGTACAAGTACCAGGAGTGGCTCGAGACGGAGCGCTACTACGAGCACTGGGCGGCGCTCAGGGCGGGACAGTCCACACGGAGTGGCAAGCTGTGGGAGTCCGGCTCGCGCAAACGGCGGAGATTATAAATAGATTTTACTATTTAAGTTTGACTAACATATTAGATTTTATTGCGTGACAAAGAAATTATTATTATTATTATAATTATTATTATTATAATTATCGAATTGTAATTGTCTTAAAATAGAATTAATTTGTGTTTTGTCATTGCGCATGTTGATGTTGTATTGGTGTAAGATTAAATAGTTAACAATTACATTTCGAGTTATTTTAATTTATCCCTGATGTCTTCACACAAGACAAAAAAAGCTGCTGTTCATTCAGTCATTTCAACTGCATCAAGAATGCTGTATCCATGGGAAAAATTTTGGAGGCTTCCTATTACTCTCAGGTTATTTAGCTATGGGAGCTAGGCTTGAAGCAAGCGTTAGCAACGTTGTCGCAGTATTGCATAACTTAACTGCTAGAGTCACTCCCAGCAAACCTGCAATTTTTGAAAACTACTCTAAGTTGTAGGATTAGAACCTGGTGTGTATGTTGCTATTTTGATTGCAAAACTATAAAATCAATCTTCAGTTCGTTTAGCTAAGCAAATAAGTTTTCTTTATCTTGGAAACGAAAATGTCTATGTTCAAATGTAGCTAACCTCGCTTTGTTGGTACTTCCATTCATCAATTAACTATGTAAATAAAAGGGTGAGAAAGAGATTCTGAAGGATGTGTTGAGATTATACTTGTCCCCCATTATACTATTGTCTTTTGACAATAAATCAATTCAGAGAGTTTAAAGGTGATTGTTGATGGTTGGAACAGTTTTACAGCCATACGGTTCCTTGATTTAGCACTTCTTTGCATAAAATATATGAACTTTGATCTCTCATCCATTTCACGTTTCATCTGAAGAGCATTTTCTATTTGTGGCCACACCAGACTGTGAAAAACAGAAGATGTGTTGTCTCCAACCAATTTCAACTGCTGTTCGTAGTTGTCTTCTTCTCTAGATTTTGTTTTGAATTTAAGTGAATATTGAAAACGTGGAGGAATACAGAATAAGAGTGGAAACGTGTGTCACCATTTACAATAAGGTTCAGACGAAAATAGACAGCACTGCGTTGTAGTAGAATGGATACTTCTTGAGCGTTGATCAGCTGGCTCCGATGCACGGTACTCAATCTCCTTTTCAGACATTCAATGTAGATAACAATAATATCACGTATTACTTTGCTATTTGCGCATTGTTTAAACTAGTAGAGTTACAGAATGGTACAGACTTTCTCGTACAAGTTTGTTTTCCAATTTCTTTGTTGTGGGCTAACGTTTTTGATTTGCCATATACTTCTGACAGTTGCCACCTATCACCACCAAAAGTACATTTTTTTCAGTTGTGCGGTTTTTTAATGGTAGAACCAAAATATTGCTTTAAATGTATTAAAGAAAAGACGTGTAAGTCCTTAGGGAAATTTGCGTTGAAAAATTGGAGCCGTTTTTAAGAAAAGTTCCTTTTTTAAGTGTTACTGTAAAAGTGAAATTTGAAATTCTATTTCACAGAAAACTTCTGAATTTTCAGAAAACTTCATTTCGATATTTCCCGGTTGATCTGGCTCAACTCAAAGCTTTTCAATTTTGCAAAAACATTCTTTAAAATTTGGGAGTAATTTACATGAAGATTCTGGGACATTCTCAGTGTTCTCAAAAATGCCTCCAAACATTTTCTTTAAATTTCTCGTAAGAATAGAGTGAAATACAATGTATAAATATGGCATATGTCCCATTTTCACTGTTACTCTGAATTTTTGGAAATTTCATAAGATAGAAATTTTTCGTCAGCTTCCCACAAATAAAACTGTATAGTGGTACTACAACAACACATACTTTCTTACGATATTGTTAATGGCTATGTAATATAATATGGAATTTTCTGTCTTACATTTCAAAAACCATTTGAGAAATTCTTAAGCAAGTAAAGTGTGAAGAATGCATATATTTTTTACATTCTAATGCAAAAACTTAAACGAAAACAGCTTTCAGCCATTGAATTCTGTGTATTCACGTTCTACACAAATGTACCAACGATGCACGCTGCATATTTTAGCCGTAAATGAAATGATTAGATATAAAGCAAAGGCAGCAGTCATCTCATTCAGTTATCAGTGCAGCATTACAACAATGGGTTAAAAGCCACAGTGACTGATAATTCCATAAATCCCCTTAATCTACTAAAGCCCAAATTAATTTTGTGCGCATAGCGCTTGCCCATTGTCGTGTTCGTGCTCCGCACATGCAGGAGCCATTTGAGTCCTATGGCAGCAGGTTTTTCCAATATTTAGTGCTTCATGTAAAGTACCCCCCCCCCTCCCATTAAAATATCGGTTTCAAATTCAAGGGACTGTGACATCAGCCAGATCTATTGAGGAATAACAATTTTGGAGAAACTCGATTGAACGATTTAGCCGCTAGTGTTGTTCGTAGACAGATGGACAGACGTTTTGCCATCAATCAATTTTTTGGTAGCAAGGACCCTCACAACATGAATTCTAGCTACACCTTGTGTGAGATAATTTTCTTCTAAATTCAGCAATTGGATTTCTCCACATTTTTGTTACCAAGGCCATGTAAGAAGAGGTTTTTCGCACAGCATTATATATCTTTCTTTCTACCGCAATAGTGGTAGCAAGAATGTAAAAATTGAAGATGTTTCTTTCAAGCAAAAATTTTTCTTCATATCTAGTTCTTTCATGAAGATTATGTGCATAATGTTCTTGAAAATTTTAGGAGTTATCACTTCAAACATTGCGTGCAATATCAAAAAATAACGAAAACAAGATTTTCAAAAAATGACTCTGATTTTTGTCTTTAAACTTTTGGTAGGGATTGTGGTAAATGTAATATAATAGATATCTGCGTCATTTGCCCTTTTCTTTTTTTAATTATACAAGTGTAATTTTTTATATCTCTCACATCGTACATATTTATATTAGAGAGTTAATATTTGCATTAAAACTTTAGAAAATGTGCCGTACAATGTCCCTCGAAAACTTATTTTTCTGTGAAAATTAGCTCAAAAGTCCGAATTTTCAGAAACGACCACAGGTCAATTTTCATAAAAGGCTCCCATTGTTTTCTTCAAATACTTTGTACGGCTAGTGCTAGTTACACTGTATAAGATGACATTAAAATAAATTTGCTGTGCTACTTTGTTCTTTTTTTTTAATTTACCCAAATGTAATTTTTTTAATATCACGCCGTTATTATGTGAATTTCTAATGTTTTATATACCGTATAACATTTGTGAGTGGAAGTGCTTCTAATGACTTCCAATAAAGTTTTTTCGAAAACTCAAAAGATTTTGTGAAAAGGAGCTTCATATTTCGCATTTACACTAGAGCTTAAATGCCATTTTCTGAAAACTGCTCTTCAACGAAACTTTCCATGTTGGACGAGATTGTTCTCTTCTATAATATTCTTGAAGTTATATTTCATTCGTACACTGAAAAAAAGGAATGGTTGCCGCACATTGAAATACGTTTCCTCCAACCAGAATCGATAGTAAAATTTGGCTCGGCTATTTTTGTGGTTGACACACCGTAGATGACGTATGTCCGTGGGGCCCTGAACAACTGCTGTCTGGTGGTACCATGCTCTACCGTGGTGTTCTGAGCCACAAAACGTTTGCAGTTCGTAGTTGATTCTCTTGGAACTTCGATGAGTAGTTCCACAACCCACATTTTTTTCTGTTCAGTTACTACAAAAAAATGTTACACCAACAATGAAATTATTTACATCAACCACATGTTTGCTTGGAGAGTTTTGCCTTGTTTTATACCCATACCTTTGAATTGTAAATTTGAATCCAGAAATTGTTACATTACATTTAAAAAACAAGTGCAAAAATGTGAAAGCGCTTCAATTAACTTTTTTTTTAATCTGACACTAAAAGGAGTTGTCAAATAGAATTAGATACATTAAAAATTAAGCAAAACTCAACAAACAAATTATTGTCAATTCATTACTTTGTATTATTTGGTCCCTTGTTTCACTTAAGTTATTTGCAACTTGTGGCACACAACCAAAAAAATATGAAAATTTAATTTTTTTTTATGACCCATGAAACTAATTTATTAGTTTTAACCGTTACTTATTGATACCTGTGTGCTGCAAGTTGCAAAAGACTCCAGTGAAACAAGGGTGTGAATAAATTTAATACCATTCAACTCAACCATATTAATGTGATAAATTTTTTACAGGCATGAAAACCACAAAGACGAAAATGAATAAATATAGCATTTGAAATACATAAATTTGGGAAATCAATATGACAAAAACACTTTATGGATGTATTTAAATGCTACATTGTATTTGAAATAATTATTTACATTATTTTTTTTTACGTTTTCATAATGAACATTTCTCACCGAGTGTGTTTCTCATAAGTGCCATAGACTGCAAAAAACTAAACATTATAATGAAGCCAAATTGAATTAAGTGGTTTTAGTACTAAGAGATCCTGAAAGTAAGATACCAGTTTTGCATCTGAGAATGCTATAAATTTGCTCATGTAGTAAAAACCAGACGTGTGTACATTTTGGAAGCAACACATAGTCTCACGTAATAAATATATCACATGCAGTGCTTACTCCTTTAGTAAATGGAATATGATCAAGAGGTCAAATTAAAATCCATTGTATTTATGCACATTAGTTTTTTCTTTAACTTCTAATAATTACTTGCAGGCCTATGTTCAACAAAGTTCAAATTAGTCTAGTGAAATAAGTTTTGTTCTCCAAAATAGTGAGTCAGGAAACAATGCAAATATTTTTAAAGAAGAAATAATAATTACAAAAGAAAATAGCTTTTATAAATGCATTAATTGTGACCATTTCTTAACATTAATCCCAAACTATAATAGGTGTTTCCAGATTATAAAGTTTTATTAAAAAAAGCAGTATAATTATATTTTAACACAAGAGAGATAAATCCAATCCCCATTTCTTCTTTCTCAAATTTAGTTATTGTATTGTAAGTCAATGTTGGCGCTGGGACATAGTAACACATTTCCCCTGAAACTGGAT